GGAAACTCGACGCTTTGCGCAAACCTTCATCCGATGTCTCAAATTTTCTCTAAAATTACAACAGGTATTGAAACCTGATTTCAATTAAATGAAAATAAAGGCGGAACTTCCAATGATGAGCAATACAACAACTGTAAAAATCTCCCACAATGTTAATCATATCCAACGCAATAACACCACCTAGGCAAATGCCATTGACCTGCATGTCCCAGGGGCAGCAACCAAGACTTAGTCTATGAGATTTACAAGGGAAAAAATATATTCCTAACCTTATAGAAATAACGTTTTAGTTACGATTTCCTGCTATATGAACGAATGAAAATTCGGAGTTAAATTTGTAGGGAATCAAAATCAACGCCCTCCAGTTTGAACTGGAGGATTTGCAAAAACATACTAAAACGACTATCACTAACAACACTATGAAAATTTCAAAAGCGTTTATATCAGAGCCATCTTCCAACTGGAAAAATCGCTTCTACGGCAGAATTTGCCTAGAACATAATATTACGGCGCACCGTCTCACGTAGTCATTACAACTTAATTAACGCTCATAACGACCCCACCCCTCCCCCCCCACCAAACTTGGCGGAACTATGATATTTTCATCACTACACCGGCGCCGCCACTTTTTCTGTGAAGCTGAACACAGATTATTAAGAGCATCCCCACTACTGATGAGGAAAAACTAAAATGCTACCAGCTTCAAAATTCAAAACTATTCAGTAATTACAAGACCACAAAAAAAACCCAACTATATCTTGCTTCTACCGTTCTAGCATTTATAAATAAAAATATACAATCTTATCAATCTAGAACTTTACATTTATTCATTTCAAGCAACAAAAAGTCTTAAAAGCCTAATTTTAATTTAAAAAAAATTGACGGCGAAAAAATGACAAATCTCCAATTGATTCTTATGTATTCAAATCCTATCTTTCTCGCAAAAATAGTTTAATAGGAAACCAATATTACATAACCGAAGAAAACAACCATTTTTTATCAGTTCTTCCAAGGTGGACTATATTCGTTTATTACGATGAAAACAACAGGAATTTCCCAACAACTTCAACGACCCAGTATTTCTCAATGTAACACAATGACTTTGCAAAGAAGTCGAATATGGCTTCTCAAAAAACTTCATCAACACAGGTTTTTTAACATAAAACTTACCAGTCTAAAAACACACAAATTTTAAAACACTTTAATGACAAAAATATGTCGCTCGTAAGACCTTCACAAATTAAACAGTCACGACCGAGATGTCAAAAAGTGGCTCATTCCCGGAGAAAAGGGTAAGCAGCCTCTAAAAGCATCTTAAAACACCATAGGTTGACACTGACGAAATAGTTTTAAGAAATACAAGAAAAAATTCTGTAACTCTTACCAAATCTTCGCAACCAAAACAGAACCATAAATCTTGCAATTTCCAATTTAATATTCACATTTCTCAAAATTTAAGGCCCATTAAGGCTATATCTCCACTCATATGTAAGTTCATTTTGAGTTTTTGAAAATAATATTAAAAAAAGACAACAACATAACGAGGGAAGTAAAATTGTTTAATTATTACGGAACTAAGCTCATAAATAGCTTCCTAAAAAGCTTGTTTGGTCCAAAACTGCCAATATGGTCGGGCAGTGCCAGAACCACAATTTTGAAAAAGACTATCGTGCGTCATCTGTACAGACCTCCAACAAAACACTTTCTGTTCCTAAAATACCAAAAAATCCTCTGAACAGTTTCATTTAACAACGACAAAGAGCTTCCGTCATGACTTGGTAAGAATTTCTCGAGCATTTTCTAAAACAATGTTTTCCATAGTTTCGACTTCTGCACACCATGTTCCTATACGCTCACTCATTGAAAAGATCTGAAAATAACAAAACGCTTCAAAAGATTGACAGAAAAAATAAACTTGTTGAAGAACAGAAAATTCGCAGACGTATAAAAACTTACTGGGTTCATACAAACTAAGAAAGTTATGTAAATCGCAGATTCAAAGTCAAAAACAAAATTCAAAAAAAAAAAAATAATAATAATAATAATATTCAAAGGTGCGTTTTAGAACTGCTAAATAAAACTCTGGATCGATAAATCCATAAAAGTTTTATAATCCTTTGAACAAATGTAGAAGCAGAAATCAAAGCTAAGAAAATGTTAACCGAAAAAAAAAAAAACAGAACCGTATAAAAGAATAAAGTGGCACACCTGCTCCGGCGAAAGTACTCGTGGTTGGACCCATGAAATATTCACCAGCTGATTAACCTGGTCAATAGAACCCTTGACTAACCCCTTGCTTAAAGCTTTCATCACTAAAAATTCGACCTTTTTGAGGTCAATTTGTGCTTTCGCGGCAATTTCTTCAAAAGGAATATATCTTTCTTTAGTCGGTCGCCCAAGCGCAATCTGTAAAATTTTAAAATGTAGAACGCTCACGAAATATTTTAAATCGTCATATTACTCGCAAAGTTTCCACCCGTAGTGATCCTATAAAAAAACTACAAAAAAAAGAAAAGCTGTGCTACTGTGTTATAAAAAGCAAACGCTTTCACAGTGTAGGTGAAAAATATTCTCAAATCAGATTAATAAATAAAATAATCCTTACTTCCATCAAAGAAAGTAACTGAATTTTTGCAATTAGGAAGTCTTTATGCTGCCTAATGTCATCCCACCCTGACATTTGCTCATCATACTGTTTAAATTTGTTCAAATCTCCTGAATTAAACGCATATAAAACATCGACGACCCATTTCTCGGGTGTATTTTCTAAAGCCTTCAAGATCGGATGAGCAAGCTGAAATTGCAAAAAGATTAAATCACTTTCTACTCCTTTTATTTTTTTCAACAACGAAAAATTAAGAGTACTTGGTATGTGAATAAAAGCGCTGAGAATGCGTTGTCTCAGTCTACTTAAGATTTCCCGACTAACAACTTCACAAAATGTAATTTTACAAAGTGTTTATAAGTGGTTAAATAAAAGTAACACTGTAATATTCTAACAGCAAAAGTCATTATCCTCACCAGTTCACCAAAATTATATATATCTTCCCCAAGAAGAGCTGCAAAACCTAAAAGCAAAGCTTGCATCTTCTTTTCCTCGTTAGATAAAAGCTTCGAGTCCTCGCAGCCAAGATAACGTAACGCTTCACGATAATAACCGGCATGGTCACCAATTTCTTTTAAGTAAATTGAGGAAACCTAAAAGAAGACAGATTTTATAAAAAATCCAGGTAAAAACTGAAAATGAAAAGTAAGTTCACCTTGTAAAATGGAGCGTGAACTGGAGTAACTCCTGGGAGGTCATCCAAGAGCACCTGCGTGTCTTCTATCATCTCCTGAAAAAGAAAAGATTCAACCTCAAAACTCAATTTTATAGATGAATATTAAGTAAAACAGCGTAAATGAACTAACAAACCCTTATTTCATGAATACTCAAGCATCGGTCATGGGCATCACTATTCATTAAACGTAACTCTATCTCGCCACTTTTGAGACGAACCATCGCAGCTTTATCCCTTTCAACTGACCTTGCAATTCCACTCAAAAACTCAAATCCTTCATTCCTATCTAGAAACAGTAAATTAAACAGTAAGGTGTTCAAGTGAACTACACAGAAATTTCTAGTTACCAATAATTTTCCACCAATAAGTGCAAGACATAAGTTACTAGATAATATCTCTGGCTTTTATAAAAACTTATCTCAGGAAAGAAAACAATGAACAAAAACCGTTTGGAAATCAACTGAGAAAGCAATGAGAACTATCAATTCTAATCAAACATCATCAGATGTTTATAATCCGTTAAACTAATAAAACTTTTTAATGTAAAATTAGAAACTCTGTCATTCCAAAACTGCAGTTTTAAAAGTTAATCTAGTAAAGGTCAAGGAAGTGACAAGTAATCAGACTCTGTAAAACAAACATACCGATTTTATTAAAAATATATTTGGCTACTGGTATGACAATCTCCACATACTGTAATGGGCTGATTCGATGAGCAAATTCGCTGATGAAGTTCTGGTGAAATTCTTTCAGGTTCAAGCCTTTTGTAAAAGCTTCCGAATAAATCGATTTTTTTAAATGAACTGTCAATTGGTGATACAACCTCAAATAAGTGCTTCAAGTGCTGATGCATAAGTCATACAATAAGAAAACTTCTGTTCTGCCGTCCAGCAGTTTCCTCAGCGATCAGAATTCAAAAGCAGTAAAGATCAACATGTTCACAAGATTTACTTCTTATCGTAAAGCTCCTCGAGCAGTCGCCAAACGTCTGCAATTTCTGAGGGTGCAGCTGACTTTTTTTCTCTGAGATATGCGAATACCTTAGACTGCGAGCTTAATTCCATCTGAAAACCAGTAACCATCAAGATATTAAAACTAATAAAAAATGTGAAATGACAAGTAATAAATCAAAAGAACTTCTGGAATGACGTAAGCCACGCTTTTCATAAAAAAAGCAGTTTGACATAACCAAACAAGTAAAAGAGTTCATAGAAGAATCCATTGAAAAAGGTATTAGAGGAGCCAATATGCGGCATGAACAACAGTAATTTAAGTAAATATTCATACATCTGTTAAAAAGAATATGGCCTCATCCTTCTTTCAAATTTCACTAGGAAGATAAAGACACATGACTTTAAAGACTTTTCTGTGCATTTTCGACAATTAAATCCATAATCCTTCTTTTCCAACGCATGTAAAACAATAATTGAAACAGCACCATATAATAATTACTGCATCAAACATGTAACTAAGTGAACCTTCAAATATGGTATGGCACAACAAAGTTAGGGGTCACAGCGGCCTCACTCGTCTGAAGTGTCCACGGAGTTGCCCTGAAGTAAACGAAGAAGATGGAACACTGCCAATTTTTGAGAGCTTACTTTCGTTTCGGAAGCTCTTGGGCAATTTTCCAACCTG